GAACTCGCGCCCTCCCCCCACCCCGGAGCGGCTCCGTTTCTCCTCCGCAGAACCCCGCCTCCACTCACTCCTCCTCAGCCTCCAGCGCCACCTCGTATCTCCTCAATCCCGACATGTCTCGGGCTCCGAACGTCTCCTGGGGGGCGGAATGATGGGATCAAGTATTTCCCAATCCCCGGCCCCCTGCTCTGTCATTCTCAGGATCAGTCTGACATGTTCTCAGAGAACCTGAGGCAAGTGCCCCCGGGAAGACTCAATTGCCACATCGGGGTGGGGTGGAATTGAAAATTTTGGAGGCACTAGACATTATGGAATTAGGAGGTCGGTCGCCGCAGGGACCTGGGACATTTAGGGGGTCAGGGCGAAAGGCTTTGCGGTCATGGGGTTGAAATATTTGGGGGCCCCAGGTGAGGATTTTCAGGGGCTGGGGTCACCTGGAGGGGGGCTGAGGGGTCGGCGCAGCCTAAACTCCGCCCTCCCTGGCTCCACCCCGGAAACAGACCGTTACCGTTACGTCACAGGGACTCCAAGGCGCGCCGGGGGTGGGGTTTGCCTATTACCCGGAAGGGGCGGAGTTAGAGCGGTTCTTCAGAGGAGGCGGAGTCACAATGTCACTAGGAGGTGGAGGCAGGGCCTTCCACTGAAAGGTGAAGTTGGGACTTCTTACTAAGATGCGAGGCACCGGGCTCTCTTTTATAAGGATGGAGTCAGATTTTGGAGTCCTACCCTGGGAGACCGAGATCTCAGTAATAGGCAGCAAGAAAAGAGCTGTGGGACGCTGTCCAGCGCTGTTCTCCCCAGTTCCTTGGCTTCTGCTCTGACGATTGCCTTTCTAGCCTGCCCCATTCTACTTGCATGACCCTGGGCTGAGGAGGAATAGGCCTCCAGGGAGGGCTCAGTCTAGACAGGCCAGGCTATGAAAATACTTCTTGGCTGAGCGGCCTTGGCCAAGTCACAACCCTTCCTATCTGAGCTGAGAACTGCCTTCTTGTGATTTGTGTTCTTACAGTCATTCAATCAACAAACATTTATTGAGTGTCTGCTACAGGCACAGCCCTGGCCAGTGTGGCTCGGGTGAAGCATTGGCCTGTACACCAAAAGGTGGTGGGTTTGATTCTCTGTCAGGGCACATACTCAGGTTGCGGGTTTGATCCCCCATTGGGGC